AAACCCACACACACATTTGGTGTCAGAAGTGTTGTGAGAGGAACCGATCGTTTCCTTTGGTGTGTCCAGTACCCTCTCCTTTGGTCCATTTTGCAATCCCACAATGATTTTTTTTTTGAGACAGAGTTTCGCTGTTGTCACCCAGGCTGGAACGCAATGGCGTGATCTCGGCTCACTGCAACCTCTGTCTCCTGGGTTCAAGAGATTCTCCTGCCTCAGCCTCTCAAGTAGCTGGGACTATAGGCACGTGCTATCACTCCTGGCTAATTTTTTTGTATTCTTCGTAGAGATAGGGTTTCACCGTGTTAGCCAGGATAGTCTCCATCTCCAGAACTCATCATCCGCCCACCTTGGCCTCCCAAAGTGCTGGGATTACAGGTGTGAGCCACCAAGCCTGGCAACAATCCCACAATTCTAAGTCTTACATAGCCATGGCTACGGTATTAACATTTATTTAGAAGTTTACATTTTGCAAAGCATTTCTGTTGTAGACAATGTGTGGAATGACAGTAGGTGCGGGTAGGAGGAAGGGAAAAAGATGCAGGGCGTCCGGGGTCCCAGTTTGTATCAGGACAACCTGCATTAAGGCCAAAGATGATGGGTCCAGGAATTTACTTTTTTTTTTTTTTTTTTTTTTGAGACAGAGTCCTGCTCTCTCACCCAGGCTGGAGTGCAGTAGCGCCATCTTGTCTCACTGCAACCTCCACCTCATGGGTTCAAGTGATTTTCCTGCTTCAACCTGCCAAATAGCTGGGATTACAGGTGCGCGCCACCAAACCCATCTAATTTTTGTATTTTTAGTAGAGACAGGGTTTCGACATGTTGGCCAGGCTGCTCTCGAACTCCTGACCTCAAGTGATCCACCTGCCTCAGCCTCCCAAAGTGTTGGGATTACAGGTGTGAGCCACTGCGCCCGGCCCATTAATATAATTTCTTAAAAATATATGAGTGACCATGGCCCATGACAAAGCCCTCAGGAGGTCTTGAGAACATGTGCCTAGACCTCCATTACTGAGAGGTTTGCTCTGAGTGCTGATGCACAAGACTTGGACGAGGCAGGGAGACGGTCAGGAGGCCAACCTTGCCTTGGCAGGGGCGGTGGTGCTGGGTAAGGTGAGCCGCTGGAGGGAAGGAGCAAAGAGGAGAGATTCCACTTTCCCTCCGGGCCGTGGTCCTTTTCTCTATAACGTGGAGTTGAAGGTTCCTACTGATGTCTTAGAGAGGACGAAGGTTAAATGAAGGGGCACATGGTAAGCGTTTGGCTCAGAGTAAGCTCTCAGTAAGTGACAGTTGCTGTTGTTTTCCCCCTAATAGTAAAAGGGAGCCCTTACCAAGCTTATATTCTAGTGTGAGAAACAGAACAATTGGCCGGGTGCGGTGGCTCACGACTGTAATCCCAGCACTTTGGGAGACTGAGGCGGGTGGATCACGAGGTCAGGGGTTCGAGACCAGCCTGGCCAATATGGTGGAACCCCCGTCTCTACTACAAAACATAAAAATTAGCTGGGCGTGGTGGTGTGTGCCTGTAGTCCCAGCTACTCGGGAGGCTGAGGCAGGAGAATCGCTGGAACCGGGGAGGCAGAGGTTGCAGTGAGCCGAGATTGTGCCACTGCACTCCAGCCTGGGTAACAGAGCAAGACTGTGTCTCAAAACAAACAAACAAAACAAAACAAAACAAGCGGTAAAAATAAAGTGCTAGGATTGAGAGAGGCGATAGGGGGTGCTGTGGCGACATTTGTGTCTCCCCTTGAAATAAAGCAACACATGAATTGATAATTCTGCCAATTATCAATTGTCTTTCTGTCCTACTCACCATCCCTCTGTCTGAATTTCTTTGTATCCCTCTGCCTGCCTTCCTCCTCTTCTATTCCTTCTAACAGCAGATTTTAGTGACTGTTGCTTCCAGAAGAACTATCCTATTTCTATTCCTGTAAAATTGTCTCCTGGGAGCAGGGAATCTCCTTTGGGAGCCTGGCTCATTCTTCTGCTCCTGGAAAAATAACTGAGGTCTCTGTGGCTCAGGATGCAGAGTCAAGCAAGGACCAGGTGCCAGGTGCCAGGTGCAGCCAGCAGGAAGTGCTGGGTCTTCTCTCTAGGGTCACTACACAATCCCACTCGCCTCCATGCCATTCCATCTTCCACATGCAGAACAACTGGATTTCATCCATCCCTTTCCAGATCTGCAGGCTGGGACCGTGGGTTGGAAGGTGGCCTCCAGTAAGGACGGGAAGAGGGAGGAATTGTCTCGCAGTAGAAATAGCCATCATTTCCTGACACTTCCTCTGTGCCACAGGCTTAAAGATCATTTTTTAACATTTGAGTATGTATCAGTAGTATGTCTATGGAGTAAAAAAAAGGGTAATTAGTAAAAATCCCCCTGCCCTTGTCCCGAGATGTATGATGCATTTACAAACAGATACATATATATTCTTGTATTTTTCAACCCTTTTTTTTTTTTGGATGGTGTCTCACTCTCTCCTGGAGGGCAGTGTCATGAGCATAGCTCACTGTAACCTTGAACTCCTGGGCTCAAGCAATCCCCCTGCCTTAGCCTCCTAAGTAGCCAGGGCTGCAGGTTGTATGCCACCACACCTGGATACACTTTATCTTTGTAGAGATGGGGATCTCACAATGTTGCCTAGGCTGGTCTTAAACTCCTGGACTCAAGTGACCCTCCTGCCTCAGCCTCCCAAAATGCTGGAGTTATAAGCATGAGCCACCACGCCCAGCCTCCACCTTGTTTTTTCACCTAATAATATACCTTCTATAAACATAATTTTCTATAGATCTCCATATAGAGCTATGTAATTGCTGGACAGATGTGTCAAAATTTATTTAACCTCTCTCCTGTCAACGGAAATTTAGGCTGTCTCTAGGCAATTGCTGTTGCTACAGCCCTGGGACCTAAGCTCTAGTCTTATATCCCCATTTTACAGATAAGAAAACAGGCTCAGAAAGGTTGTGTCATGTGGTCCAGCTCACACAGGAAATAATCTGAAACCAGGTTCCCATCCAGTGACCTTACCATTAACCACAATAAAAATAGCTTTATCAGCTGGGCACGGTGGCTCATACCTGTCATCCCAGCACTTTGGGAGGCCAAGACCGGCAAATCACTTGAGGTCAGGAGTTTGAGACCAGCCTGGCCAACATGGCAAAACCCCGTCTCTACTAAAAATACATAAATTAGCTGGCATGGTGGCAGGTGCCTGTAATCCCAGCTACTCAGGGGGCTGAGTCAGGAGAATTGCTTGACCCCAGGAGGCAGAGGTTGCAATGAGACAAGATTTTGCCACTGCACACCAGCCTGGGCGACAGAGCAAGACGCTGTCTCAAAATAAATAAATAATAGCTTTTATTTTGAGCCAGGAAATTACTTACCCACACACGTAATTTTCTGTTTTGGAATAGTTTTAGATCTACAGAAAGCCTTTGAGGATGAGAATGCGAGTTTTCACACGGCCCACGCCGTTTCCCCTACTGTTAACATCCTACATCAATATGGTACATTTTTCACAATTAATGAACCAAGATTGATACATGACTATTAACTGAAGTCCCTACTTTATTCAGATTTCTATAGTTTTTAATGTGTTTTAACTTGTGTTCCAGGAACTGAGTAGCTCAGATTACAGGCATGCTCCACCACATTCAGCTAATTTTTAAACTTTTTTGTAGAGATGGGGTCTCAATATGTTGCTTAGGCTAGTCTCCAACTCCTGGGCTGAAGCCATTCTCCCACCTCAGCCTCCTAAAGCGCTGGGATTACAGGCATGAGCCACAGAGTCCAGCCTCCTTTTTTAAAAAATGACCTTGACAGTTTTGATGAGTACTAACCAGGTATTCTGTAGAACACCCCTCAGTTGAATTTGTCTGATATTTTTCTTGTGACCACAGAGGTAAAGTGCCCTTCTTATCACATTGTATGAAGAGTGCGTACTAGCCACATAGCTTAATGTTGTTGATGTTAATTAATTAATTAATTAATTTTGAGATGGAGTCTCACTCTGTTGCCCAGGCTGGAGTGCAGTAGTGCAATCTTGGCTCACTGCAATCTCCGCCTCCTGGGTTCCAGAGATTCTCCTGCCTCAGCCTCCCGAGTAGCTGGGACTACAGGCATGCGCCACCACGCCCGGCTAAGTTTGTATTTTTAGTACAGACAGGGTTTCACCACGTTGGTCAGGCTGGTCTCTAACTCCTGATGTCAGGTAATCTGCCCGCCTCGGCCTCTCAAAGTGCTGAGATTACAGGCGTGAGTCACTGTGCCTGGCAATGTTATGTTTTTAAGCTGCACACGAACAGAGGTAGAGATGAAGCGAGGCTATAGTGTAAAACGTAAAAGACAAACTCTGCATGTAGTTTTCTCTTCACTCGGCCCTCTAGCTCCCCATCCAGGGCTACCACAGGTAGCCAGTTTCTTGCATTCTCTAGGGAGATAGCTTAGGCGTTTACAAACACGTACAAATATATTTTTTGTTTTCCTTTTTGTTCCCAAATGGTAACTTACTAAATGCACTTATTTGGAATCTTGGGGTTTGTGTGTGTGTGTGTGTGGATTTTTTATTTTTTAATTTTAGAGATGGGGGTCTCACTGTGTTGGCTACGCTGGTCTCAAAGTTGTGGGCTCACACGATCCTGCAGCCTCGGCCTCCCAAAATGAGAGGATTACAGGCGTGAGCCACAGCGCCCAACCGGTTATTTTCGTTATTTATTTCTTTATTAGATTAGATTAGATTAGATTTTAGTTGCAGGGGTCCCATGTGCATGTTCGTTACATGGGTGTACCGGGTACTGGTGGGGACTGGGCTCCCATTGTGCCCATTCTATTGTGATGTTTTAAACTCAGTGAGACAGCAGGGAGGTCGCTGCTTGTCGCCGCCGCTGGATGGAGCCTTGCCGGATCTCCCGGGCTCTGCAGCCCCTCTCCGGTCTCTGTGCTCGGCTCCTCGCGGGGTCCAGCGGGCGGCGGGCGTGGGAAGGGAAGGCTTGGGCGCCCCGCCCCGGCCTCTGTGATGTCAGCGCCGGAACCTGGAATCCCGGCTCCGCGAGGGAAGGCTGGGGAGGCGGCGGCGGCCGCGAGTGGAGAGCGTCCCCGGCAGCCTCTGAGGAGCGCGGGGCGCAGCCATGAGCGAGTCCAGCGCCAGTGCGCTCCAGCTCGGCAGGCCCAGCCGGCAGCCCGCGGTCCATCCAGGTAGGGCTGCGGGGAGCGCGCGCGGGGACGGTGCCCCTGGGGTCCTAGGGCGCACGGAGGGAGCCGACTGCTGGAGGCTCGGCTTGGCCGCTATCCACTCTCACGCCCCGCGCGGCGCGGGGTGCTCCCGGCTCTGGGGAACAGCAGGTGGGAAGGGGATCTTTCTTATTCCTGCTCCCTCCTCCAACGCGTCCTCATCCAATCCAGTGGGACCCAGCCGGGCCAAAAGGACACTAGAATGGCAGTCCGGACCGTGGTGGGTTTGTCTTCCAGCTGTTGACCAAGACCGTCTTTCAATAGTCTCATCTGTTAAATGAAGGGATTGCGAGCACCCCCTCCACGCCTAACGTTCTGGTATGAGGTGCCTGCCTCCCAGGCATTTCAGCCTTCACATACAGTTAGACCAACTTGAAACCGAATTCTGCCTTGTCTGTTTATTGCTGTGGGACCTTTAGTAAGTGGCTTGCCTTCTCTGAGTCTCAGATCCTTCAGCAATAAAATGGGAATAGGATGGTGCAGGGAGTAGCTGAGAATCGTGTGATGTGTCTAGCACAGTGTCTGGCATTGTGGCTAGACAGTCACAATACATGGTAGCCAGCCAAGTATTAGAATCTTTTGTATTGGGTAGAATTATAGGAAAGTATACAACTCCATCAATTTCTACAGAAATATGTACAACTGCTGCCCAGTCAAGACAGAAAAGCTGCCAGTACTCAGGCAGGGTTCCTTGTAGCATTTGGAGCTTAGGAATCTTGCAAAACACAAGACCCTGCCGTAAAGTGTTATCTGCAATGTTTTCTCTTTTTCAATTTTAGAATAGAGATTTAATGAAACCAAGGATGTAGAATAAAACATGAGTGCAGATTTGGGCATTGTGGCCTTCAAATTGGATTGTTCTCAATGTTCAGAAGAAAAAAAAATTAGAAGAGACCCACATCAGAAAACAAAAGTTGGGGTGGATTCAATGCGAATTATTTTCTATCTCAATATTAATACTGCTTATGTCAGCTGAATTTCAGCCTTTCAATAATAGCTAGTCAAGTATTTTTTTAGTTGGTTCCTATTGATCGTCATCTTATTTTAGTGGAATCCATTATACTGAAGATGTCAAGTTCCTCATTTCCCATACAAAGAATGTGAGATTCATCGTTCTTGAATCTTTGCTAAGTGTTTTAGGGTACTTTTGGCATCTTTTTAGGACAACTATAATTGGGCCCTGTAACTAAAAAGTCTCCTATGCCTCTTTGATAGATGAGATTTTTTTTTTTTTTTTTTTGACCTTGTACCCACCAACATTGGTGGGAGGCTCAGAAGGGACTGTGTTTGTAACTTTGTAGCACTTTCTAAACAGTGACCTGTTGTATGGGCATTATAGGACAGTCTGTGGGGTGGGGCGGGGGATGGGGGAGGTGACAAATGAGGTCTGGCTTAAAGAATGAGAAGTGTGACCAGGCATGGTGACTCATGCCTATAATCCCAGCACTTTGGGATGCTGAGGCGGGAGGATCACTTGAGCCCAGGAATTTGAGGTTACAGTAAGCTGTGATTGTGCCACTGGGCTCCAGCCTGGGTGACAGAACTAGACCCCATCTCTAAAAACAGAGGAAGAAGAAGAAGAGGTGTGTGTCCTTCTAAATAATAAAACAGATCACTCCCCTGCTTACATAAAACTTTCCTGTGGCTGAGCAGGTGCCATGGCTCACGCCTGTAATCCCAGCACTTTGGGAGGCTGAGGCGGGCGGATCACAAGGTCAGGAGATCGAGACCATCCTGGCTAACATGGTGAAATCCTCTCTCTACCAAAAATACAAAAAATTAGCCAGGCGTGGTGGCACGCACCTGTAGTCCCAGCTACTCGGGAGGCTGAGACTGGAGAATCGCTTGAACCTGGGAGGTGGAG